AAAAAATAAAGCTTGAGGGATTTTATAATTAAACACAGATCACAATTTTAGTCTCAGCTTTAACTTCCATTGATAATGGTCTCCAATTGCCCCAGTGTCTCCGGAATCATTATTTTTCATTTATAACACAGTTGGCTGGAGGCCCAGCGTTGACACCTCTGATCGACCCAGTCATGGGGGCCATCCACAGTTTGGTGAGATTTACTTCCAGGTGCCTGGCCAGGTTCCCACAGTAACTATTGGAGAAACGTCTCCTTGTGCTTCTGCTCAAAAGTTTTTGTTCAAATCAACATTAAAAAATAAAGCTTGAGGGATTTTATAATTAAACACAGATCACAATTTTAGTCTCAGCTTTAACTTCCATTGATAATGGTCTCCATTGCCCCAGTGTCTCCGGAATCATTATTTTTCATTTATAACACAGAGAAATTTGACAAAACATCCTCTGAAGCCACCTCAAGTCTCTATATATTTCTGCCCAATTAAATTTGTAAGAATGAAGTACATTGGCAAGACAGACATATAGAAACTCCATATAGGGCAATGGAAGAAAATATATTTCTTATCAATTTAATCTGTCCATTTAAATATTTGTCAGAATTTTTCCCTTTGGAGACAGATTACTTTTTCTGTTTTTTTAAAGCATGGGTCCAATATGCTATAATTTAAAAAAAAAATCTATGGTCAAATATTTTCCATAAAGGATAGTAGTAAATATGATATGATTAAAGTAAAATCTGCTAAGCACCCACTTTGTGCTGGACACTGTGCTAAATGCTTTTCTTGCTAACTTCTGTAATAACACTGTGAGTCATGTACTCCGATTCTTAGCATTCTATATGTAAGGAAGTTGAGGGTTAAAAGAGTTCATTGCTTTGCTCCAAGTCACATAAAAAAGTGGTGAGGCCAATATTTGAATCTAGAAATCTTTACTTTTAACTGTTAGTGTATAGTTAATCTTTTTGCCTTTAAACTTCAAAAGTCTATGTGAACATTTATTAATATATTAAAAACCTACTGATCTTTTAATTAAGTAATGCCCTTTTCACATCAGATTCTTCACCAGAAACATGAAGAATCTCTTGTAGCTCAGTTTTCTGGTTTTTACTTCTGTTTTTCTAAGTAACATGTTTATATTAGTATTTCTTGATTTTTAAATGTTAAACATTATCAGTGTGTCTAGAGTAGGGAAGGAATAAACTTCTACATGACTCACCAGGCTCCAATTATTGGTTTAGCACCTCTTACAGCTAAAGCAATAATCATTTCTTTGCAAGATTACAGTTCTTTAATATTTTTCACACTTGATCTACAAAATATGCTATGGTTATATTTCTTTTCTTACACAACGTTTTGTTTTCTGAAATCAATAGTTCTCCATTTCTCTCTCTCTCTCCCTTGCTCTCTTTTTCTCTTTAGAATCTGTATTGCTAATTTGTATTGTATTCTTTCTCTCATGGTGCTAACAAAGCTCCTTCCAAGAACTCCTTTCTATTATGGTGCTAATAAAGCTCCTTCCAAGAACTCCCAGTTGCCAGGGGGAAGGATGGGAAGATGGTAGGGAGTTTGGGATGGACATGTACTTACTACTATATTTAAAATGGGTAACCAACAAGGACCTACTGATAGCACAGGAAACTCTGCTCAATATCATGCGGCAGCTTGGATGGGAGAGGAGTTTGGGGGAGAATGAATACATGTATGTATAAGTATTGCTGAGTCTCTTTGCCGTTCACCTGAAACTATCACATTGTTAGTCAGCTACATCCCAATACAAAATAATTAAAAAAAGAAAAAAGAAAAAAGCTCCTTCCAGTATGGTCAAGCGCATCAGGTCCCTGAGGTTCAGCTGTTTTCTTCCTTGGAGACGTCCCTTTTGGGGCGCCCAGACTCCCTACTCCTGTCTTGCTAGATGACAGAATGACTGGGACTTTCCTTTACCATCATCCTGGGGACTTCCTTCTTTCTCTCCTGAATATCATTTTTGCTCTCATTTCACTATACATAGAATAGCTTTCATTAGATTCTTGTGAATGTATGCAGAGAAGATTAACTATTTTATACACTAAGTGGCAGATGTAATATTCTAAATCATAAACAACCTTCTAACTTTTAGAAGGCATTCTGCCATTGTATACTAGATGCCATCATGGTTTTGAAGAAATCAAACTTTTTCATCTCGGAAATCTTAAAATCTCTTTATCCACCATGTTCTGAAATTTCGTAATAGCTTTGCTTTGTGTTAATTTTCTGGGGGTGCCTGTAGGGTTTGTGCTCTACAAGTGTTTAATTTTCATTTTGGGAATTTCTCTCCTGCATTACTCCTTTGATCATTTCTTCCTTTCCACTTTATTTTGGAGAGGGAGAGGGCTTTTTATAGCATAACTGAATTGGATTTTGAAACTCTTGCATGAATCCTGGCTGCAGGATTAGCTGAGCTAGTGACATCGTGGGAAGGGATGCAGTGTGGTGGAGTCAGACCATTTGGTATAGAGCCTTCCACATATTCCCTCTATTTTTTTTTTAATTTTTACTATTTTTTTTCTCATNACTTCACTCTGTATAATGGGCTCCAGTTTCATCCATCTCATTAGAACTGATTCAAATGAATTATTTTTAAAGGCTGATATTATTCCCTCTATTTTTAATAGAGTGGTTCAAGCACCGATGGTGTCCTGTATTATCAAATTAAAGGTCCCTCTGGTTTGTCTGACTAGCTGGGCTTAGGTGGAATCTGCTCACTGAACCACTCCTTTTTCTGACCTTCAAGCAATCTTCCCTTTAAAGCCCTGCAGACTTGATAGTTCCACTTCCTGAGTGAGACTTTTGGGAACGCCGTCTGCAGCAGGAAGCAGCTGTCTTCCTCCTCCATTCTGCTAGCACCATCGCTGTTTATCTACTATCCACCTTCCAAATTCTCTTGGATGTCTGTCAGTGCTATCATCTTTTCTGTTCCTTTTGAGGTTGTGGGTTTTGACCTTTTATCCCCTTTACTATCATTTTATTGGAGTTTTAGTAACAGGTAGAACTGTAAATGTATATCATCAATTTACTATTTTTAACTAGATACTGTTTTGGTTTTCTTACATTTGCTAAATCACAATAGTGGCCATTAGCATTTCAACTCTTATCACTTGTCCATATCATTACCACGTTCTCCAGGAAAATGTGGGAAACATGAGGCAAACCACAACCCCCAGAGTTACTTATCAGAGTCCTTTAGAGGGTTTTAATCTTACAAAAAGTGAAAAATATCCTGCTAACAATTTCTTACAAAAGAAATGTTAATTTAAATATCAAAGTAACCCCAGATCCTAAAAACTGTATTTTAATATCTGTTCTCTTTGATTTAAATAGTTTATAAAGTATGTAAAACATTTCATAGGACTGAAGAAATAGGTCTGTTTATACATTTTGTAAAATTAAGGAACTTGAATAAAATGGCTTAATGTAATGGAAATAACCGAGATCAGTAGAATTTTCAAAGATAATTTAAAAGCATGAAATAGCAATATATCTTATGGGGGAATGTATGGCGCTGATTACTGACAGCTGGAGTCTAGCATGCTGAATAAGAATCAGCAAGGAGAGTGGGAAGTGAAAATCACTTCTGCATGTATTTTTCAGGGTCACTCTCTTTTGCTTTGTTGGGTTGGGTATAGTGCTGTGTTTGCTACACATGTGAAAGTGACATTATAGTCTGTGGTCTGTAGGTCATGCAATCCTCCTTGCAAAACTAAATTATTTAGACTCTAGAAACTAGATAAGTATGCACTGTGATCTCTCTCAAAAACACTGTGTGCAGAACACAGAAAAGGGCTCCTAAGACTATGGCTGTGGGTTCAGTTCAGTTCAGTTCAGTTCAGTCGCTTAGTCGTGTCCGACTCTTTGCGACCCCATGAATCGCAGCACGCCAGGCCTCCCTGTCCATCACCAACTCCCGGAGTTTACTCAAACTCATGCCCATCGAGTTGGTGATGTCATCCAGCCATCTCATCCTCTGTCGCCCCCTTCTCCTCCTGCCCCCAATCCCTTCCAGCATCAGGGTCTTTTCCAATGAGTCAACTCTTCGCATGAGGTGGCCAAAGTATTGG